CACCGAGTACACAAATTTTTGAGCACCGGGCCTCTAGTAAAATATTATATTAGTTTCAGGCGTACAATATAGTAATTAGACATTTATATATCTTATGAAGTGATCAGCTGATATGTTTAATACCCATCTAACTATAAGCCTTTATTTTTATCTTGCTGGTATTTAAGCAACATAAAGCTAACTGTCTCAACTTAGAGTCAAACATCATTGTAAGTGGGGGAAGATGATGAATGAATTTGAGAGGACTAAAGAGTGAATTGATAGGTCACATTGAGTTTGTGTTTTTAATTTTCAAAATCTGTTTCAAAATATTTTCTTGAATCATAATTCAATAAATTTGAAATTGTTACTTATATTTTATTCTGAAGGGGATCCATCCTCCCTTGCTACCCTTCATCCTCTCTTCTTTTCTCTTCCTTACTTCCTCCTATGCAAATGTTTACTGAGTGAATACCTATTTTTTGCCAGGTACTATATAATAGATGCTGGAAATGCATAGGTGAAAAAGTTATCCATGTCCTCAAGGACTTTCTGCATTATTTTTGAGGCAGGCAGATATGAAGAGGCACTTACTATATAGTAATAGTTGTTCTATTGGTGCAATAGGCACACACGGGAATAGAGGAGTGACTCTCTCTTGGAGGATCAGGGAAGATAAGAGAGATGACACCTGCCTGAAGGAATGTTCATGTTTGAGATAAATTTAGTGCATTTGAGGCAAGAAGTATGACCTATGAAAACATCTGGGCAGATCAGACAGGATGACAAAATTGAGGAGCTACCAGTTAATTATAGCTGGAATGGACGTGTCAGTTGGGGTGGATGGAGATGGAACTGGGGGTGGGGGAAAATCAAGCAATGAAGGTCCTTGAGTTTAGATCTTATCCTGGGAATAATGAGGAGGCTATTCAAGGATAGTGAACATGGGGAGGGCACTTTAGAAAACTCACTTTGGCAGGGAACTTGTGGGGGGAAAAAATAGAAAGCATATGAAATTTGATCCTGGAAAACTTCACAGATGGCTATTACAATCAGGTTGGAAGATGATGAGGGTCTGCTTTAGGTCAGTGACAGAAGTCAAGGAGCAGCGAAGTAGTATATGAGAAATATAATAATAAAAATGAGGAAGTAAATAAAAGCCAGACCGGCATGGCTCAGTGGTTGAGCATTGACCTATGCATAGGAGGTCGTGGTTCCATTCCATGGTCAGGGCACATACCCAGGTTGCAGGCTCGATCTCCAGTGTGGGATGTGCAGGAGGCCGTCAGTCGATGATTCTCTCATCATCAATGTTTCTATCTCTCTCTCCCTTTCCCTTCCTCTCTGAAATCAATAAAAATATATTTTAAATAAATAAATAAATAAATGCTGTGCAAAGGGGAAGGAGGTAGTGACTTAGTACTGAACGGTGAAGTTGAGAATGTTCTATATATCCCACTAAACTTTATTCTCATTAGAGGGAACTTGAAGCCTTCATGACAAAGAGGTACTATTAGTGCAATTTTATATTGAATATTGTATTATTACGTTTCCAAGAATAAGTGTCAACATTTCCACAAAAGTGTTCATTCAGGAAGGAACATGGTCAAGATATTTCTTCTCATTAAGACATTAAATCTTATCAAAAGGGAAGCAAATTTAAAAAGGATTTTAGAGTTTGTGGAATGTCTCTGACATGAAAATGAATTTAAACTTAAACTCTATAAGGAAATTTTTATTATAGTTTATTGGATATATAATTTATGGAGACTGAAGTGTTAACCCATATTAGTATTCACAAGTTTATTCTAGAGTTTAATCTGATATGAATTTTCTTTCTTTGGCAGGATGATTCTTTAAAGCAATTGCAGGTGGTTCACCAACCATGGATCTTGCCAAGTGACACAGAAAGTGAAGGAGTGGAAGCAGAACAAGAGAAACGTGAGTAGACTCTACTGTTTATTGACAGATTGCTTTTAGCCAAAGGAAATCTACACTGAAGGTCTATTCCTTTCATAACATCAGATGTTGTCTGCAAAAAAATTCAGACTTGACTAGGAAACTATGCAAAGATAAGCTATATTTCAGGTACATAGATCTTGATTCAATTATGTCATAATTGTGTCGCAGAGAACCATAAACTCACTTTCTGAGAACAAGTACAGAACCTTACAAGAAGAAATTGTTCTTCTTGAACACTAACATAAATGTCCATTTAGAACAGGGGTCCTCAAACTATGGCCTGTGGGCCACATGCAAATACAAATATTGTATTTGTTCCCGTTTTGCTTTTTTACTTCAAAATAAGATATGTGCATTGTGCATAGGAATTTGTTCATAGTTTTTTTTTTAAATATAGTCCGGCCCTCCAGTGGTCTGAGGGACAATGAACTGACCCCCTGTTTAAAAAGTTTGAGGACCCCTGATTTAGAACGTGAATCTTCTATCCTGTATAATAAAATCCTAATAAGCAAATTGACCAAATGACGAAACGACCAGTCAGGAAGGCCCTGGCTGGCAGCTGGAAGGTCCCAATTGGCCCTGATCAATGGCCAGGCCTACATACCCTACTCGTGCACAAATTTTGTGCACCGGGCCTCTAGTAAACATATAATTACATCAGTCATAACTTGTGATTATTTTTAAAAAATCAAAATATGTTAGGAACAGTTTATTATTGTATATAAAATTATCATTATTAGTTAAATGAGCAAATCTATACATATAAAAACCTAAGTGACCATTACAACCGAACGACTGGAACGACCAGAATGACTGGTCAACTGGTCACTGTGATGCACACCAGGGGGAAGACACTCAAAGCAGGAGCTGCCCCCTGGTGGTCAGTGTACTCCCACAGCCAAACTTCTGCAGCTGGCCAACCTCCCCCAGTCCCTCCCCATGGTCAGCCAACTTCCCACGGTCCCTCTCCCTGGCCAGTCCCTCCTCCCGGCCAGCCAAGTTCCTACAGCCCTTCTCCCTGTCCTTTCCCCTGGCTGGCAGGCCACGATTGGCCTGGCCCTGATCTGCCTGGCCCCGATCCGGTCTGGGCGAGAAGGCTCCGATTGGCCCTGATCACCCGTCAGGCCTAGGAACGACTTGCCTGCTTAAGGGCCCCCATGCATGAATTCATGCACTGGGCCTCTAGTATATAGAGAGTTGATCCTTAAACAATGCCTAGTGTTGACCACAAGCCTTACCGATAGCATAAACAGTTGATTAACACATTTTGTATGTTATATGATTGTGTTCCAAAAGGTCTCTGAGGAACTGTTCACTTTTCTTCATTTATTTTTAAGAATTCCTCAGAAGTTCCTTAGATTGGATTTCAATGGACCTATCTTAAGTTCTTTGATCCTTTCTTATGCAACTCAAATATGTTATTGAGACCCTTTAGTGAATTTTTTCATTTTAATTCCAAAATTTCTATTTTGTTCCCCTTAATAATTTGTATGTTTTAATTGGTAGTCTCATTTGGTGGAAGTTCATTCTCATGTTTTTTAAAAATTTTATTTGACAAGATTTCTTTTAATTCTTTGACTATACTTATCGTAGGTGATGACAAGCTTTGTGTGGTAAAGTCCATGATCTGAGTTTACTCAGGAGAGTTTCTATTGAATGTGTTTTTCCTATTTATGAGCCACACTATCATGTTTATTTGCACGTTTAATATGATTTATAAAGCATTTCACTTTTTGGTTTGTTTGTTTAAAACTGGACATTTAATACAAGGTAGGAACTCTAGTAATTGGACCATCTGCCTCCCATCCCCAGTTTGTTCTTGCTGCTGTTGGTTCTTGTTATTATTGTTGCTATTTTTTGTTCAGTGACTTTGCTGAACTGGCTCTATAAAATCTATATTATTTATTGTATGCAGCCACTGAAATCCACACTCAGTAGTTTTGTAGTCAGCACATTCAATCTTCTATGAGTATTCAGAAAATTCTAAGGTTTCACGAGAATTTCAGGGCATCTGAACTGACACCAGGCAATAAATCCTCAAAATTAGGTATACCAACATTTTCATCATAAATATTTAAGGACTTACCTTTAATCAATAAATATAAAAGTAAATTAATAACTAGTGTTAATGATCTGTTAGAAGCAAACCATTCTAAATGCCAAATTGCAATTTTTCTTTCTAATACTGGTTTTAGAAGATATTTTTTGGTTATAAATAAATTTTTTGTCATTTCTAGAGGCCAAATGCCTCTGAATTATTCCTGTGGCCTTCTTACTTTGAAATGTTTCCCATGTCTGTGGTAAAATTCTGATATTATGAATGGTTCAATTGACTTCTAAGCTCCTAGAAAATATTTAAAGGGTAGCATTTAATGACATATCTAACATAATCTCACAAACTAAACTATTATGAAGTATAATGGGAAAATGGGTCAGGTTGCTCAGCAATACATAAAGTTGCATGTTCAGACTACCTTCTTTGTTTATTAAAATGTCCTTGCCACATGCAATAATAGTCAGAAATTTTTATAACAAGTGTCAGAGAAGCCTGTGTTTAAACAACAAGACAGCCGAACTGTTATTTTGGAGTGCAAGATTCTTTGGATTCGAGCAGTGATTTTCAAATGGTGTGCCACAAGAATTTTTATAACATGGAAATACCTGACTATTTAGTTAGGGCCACTGACCTCTTTTCCCTTAGATTGTAAAATAAGAAATGATAACAGCCAACACAACAATATCCGTCTGGTGTGAATGAATCAAAATCATACCTATTTGTTGCGTGTGCAATGAGATACAAAATATTGAAAATGGCTGGATTAGAGTATGTGTGGAGTTGAATTCTTTAAAATTAAAAATATGAGATACATGGTACAATTTTTTGTTATTTTTAAAAATCAAAAGTATGAATGAGTAGCACATGTTTTTAATACTTTCACCAAATACTTTTTGTTTGTCTTGGAATATTCTTATATTTGCTCTAGGTGTGGCTAAATCTTAAAAAAAAAATAGAATAATGGACACAAAATGAAGGAAAGATCTAGTTTATTCTTTAACTTTGATGGATTTAGCTTATATGGAAGGCTTATAATAGATGGAAAGTATCTTTACAAATGAGAAGAATGTATTGGCTGGCTGCAAGTCTTTTGCATGTGTTTACAGTTTTCCCAGCACCATTTATTGATCACACTATCCATTCCCCACTGTGTAGTTTTGGTGTCCTGGTGTTAAATTAGTTGACCACATATATTTGGGGTTTATTTCTGGGCTCTCTATTTCTGTTCCACTGGTCCATGTGTGTACTTTTATGCCAGTACTATACTGTTTTAATTACTATAGCTTTGTAATATAATTTGAAATCATGAAGTGTATGCCATCAATTCTGTTCTTCATTCTCAAGACCGATTTGACTACTCAGAGTCTTTTGTAGTAATTTTCTTTTCTTTTCCACCTATTTTATTTAGTTTTTATTAAACTATATATCTGATAAGGGATTAATATCCAAAATATGTAAGAACTCATACAACTTAATAGTAAAAACAAACAAACACCTATTTAAAAAATGGGCAAAGACTTCAATAGACATTTTTCCAAAAAAGACATACAAATGGCCAACAAGTACATGAAATGGTACTCAACACCATTAATAATCAGGGAAAAGTGGCCAAAACCATAATGAAATATCATCTCACATGTCTTAGAGTGTGTATTATAAAAATAATAAAAGATAAGTGTTGGTGAAGATGTGGAAAAAAAGAGAACGCTTGTACATTGTTGGTTAAATGTAAATTGATTGTTAAGCCATTATGAGTAACAGTGTGAATTTTCTGCAAAAACAAATTAGTACTACCACATGATCTAACAATCTCTCCTCTGGTATACACCCAAAGAATATTAAATTAGCACCTCACGAGAGAGCTATGCTCTCCTTGGAGCAGTATTCACAATAGCCAGGGTATGGAAACAACCTAAGTAGCTGTCAATAGGTGAATGGACAAATAAATTGTTATATGTATTACAATGGAATATTATATGCCTTTTTTTAAAAAAAGATCTGGCAATTTGCAACAACATGGATGAATTTAGAGAACATTATGCTAACTGAAATAAGCCAGACACAAGAAGAAAAAAATGTGATTTCACTTATATGTAGAATCTAGACAAGTCAAATACATAGAAGCAATGAATAGAATGATGGTTACTGGGGCCGGGATATGGGAGAAATGGTTAGATATTTGTCAAGGGCTAAATAGTTGCAGTTATGTAGGATAAATATGTCTAGAGAGCTGATGTACAACATTTAATGTATAGTTAATCATACCATATTGAATACTGGAAATTTGCTAAGAGAAAGGTAACTAGAATTACCCATAATATCACCACTCAAAATATTCTCCATTATTATTTTGGGGTTTGATCACATAGTCTTGTCACCATGCATGCCTGTTTATTTTTTATTAA